CTGGGGGTGGGGCGGGGCTTCAACAACAGACATTCATTTCTCACAGTTCTGGAAGCTGGGAGGTCCAGGATCAAGGTGCTGGCTGATTTGGTCTGCGGTGCAAACCCTCTTCCTGATTTGCAGATGGATGCTGTCTTTGCCCATTCGGGCTGCTGTAACAAAATACCACAGACCGGGTGATTACTGTAAACAGAAGTTTATTGCTCACAGTTCTGGAGGCCAGAAGTTGGAGATCAGGGTTGCCAGCATGATCAGATGAGGGCTCTCTTTCCGGCTGCAGACTTCTTGGTGTATTCTTGTCTGGGGGAAGGAGCTAAGATTCTCTGCAGGGCTTCCCTGGTGGCGCAGTGGTTGAGAATCTGCCTGCTAATGCAGGGGACACGGGTTCGAGCCCTGGTCTGGGAGGATCCCACATGCCGCGGAGCAACTGGGCCCGTGGGCCACAACTACTGAGCCTGCGCGTCAGGAGCCTGTGCTCCGCAACAAGAGAGGCCACGACAGTGAGAGGCCCGCGCACCACGATGAAGAGTGGCCCCCTCTTGCCACAACTAGAGAAAGCCCTCGCACAGAGACGAAGACCCAACGCAGCCACAAATAAAAATAAATAAATTAAAAGAAGGCTCAACATTAAAAAAAAAAAAAGTCTCTGCAGCCTTTTTTATAGGCACGAGTCCCATTCGTATCATCAGGATTGCCCCCTCCTGGCTTAAGCACCTCCCAAAGGCCCTGCCTTCTAACACCATCACATTGAGAGTGAGGATCCCAACAAGCGAATCTTAGGGGGACACAAACATTTAAACCATGGCAGACTCCTTGCTGTGTCCTCACGTGGCAGAGAGAGAGGGGAAGCAAGCCCTCTTAGGTTTGTCCTCATGAAGACACTAATCCCGTCGTGAGGACCCCACCCTCATGACCTGATCACCCGCAGAGGCTCCGTCTCCAAAAGCATCACCCTGGGGATTAGCGTTTCAACATACACGTTCTGGGGGGACGGACATCAGCACTCAGTCCATAGCAGTAAATGTATGTTTCACTTTCTACGAAACTGTCGGACTGTTCCAGTGCGATTGCACTGCTTTACGTTCCCAAGAGTAGTGCGTGCACCTCACCAGCTCTGGACTTGGTCAGCCTGTTTTATTGTAGCCGTCTGAACGGGTGTCTTATTGTAGCCGTCTGAACGGGTGTCTTACTGTGGTTTAATTCGCATTTCTCTAACGAGTGATGTTTAGTATCTCTTCATTTGCTTATTTGTCATCAGCATATCTTCTTTAGTGATGTGTTCTGTTCAAATCAGTTTTTAATTGGGTTGTTTGTTTTCCAGTTATTGGGTTTTGACAGTTGTTTTATACATTCTGGATACAAGTCTTTTATCAGATAGGTAATTTGCACATGTTTTTTTCCCAGTCTGTGGCTCGTTTTTTCATTCTTTTAACACTGTCTCTCCAGCTCGGGAGTTTTTAATTTTTCGAAGTCTAGTGCATTAATTTGTCCTTATGGATCATGCTTTTGGTGTTGTATCCAAGACACTGTGCCTAACCTGCAGCCCCAAGATTTTCTCCTGTGTTTTCTCCCAGAAATTTTAGTTTTAGGCTTTACATTTAGGTCTCTGATCCATTTGGGTTTTTTAAAAATATGTGAGACGTATGGATTCGTTACGTCTCGTTTGTTTTTAAGGTACGAGTATCTGCTTGTTCCAACACCATTTGTGAAACTGTTGTCCTTTCTCCACTATGTTAATGGAGTTTGCAGCCTTTGCTGAAAAATCAATTGACCATATATGTTTGAGTCTATTTTTGGACCGTATTCAGTTCCATTGATCTATTATTTGCATAACTTAACACCTATACCACACTGTCTCGATTACTGTAGCTTTATAATAGGTCTTAACGTTGGGAAATATAAGTCCTTCGCTTTGTTTGTTTGATGTTGTTTTTTGTTTGTTTCAAGTTGTTTTGGCTATTCTGGGTCCTTTGCATTTCCACATGCATTTAAAAAGGACCTTGTCATTTTCTACCCTTTTTGGGGTGAATTTTGATGGAGGCTGTATTGAAGCCATAGGTCGATTTGGGGAGCATTTACATCTTAATAATACTGGCCTCTGATCCATGGTTATGGTGTGTCCCTCTCTTTATGCAGGTATTTTTAAAATTTCTCTCATCAGTGTTCGAAAGTTCTCAGTGTATAGCTCTTATACAGCTATTGTTGTATTTATCCCTAAGTATTCCTCATTTCTTGATGCTGTTGCAAATGGCAGGTAAACATTTTTTAAATTTCTAAGAGTTCGTGCTAGTATATAGAAATACAGTTGCTTTTTGTATGTTGAACTTGTATCCTACAACCTCACTAAGCTCAATTATTAGTTCTAACAACCTTTTTTTGTACATTCTGTCAGATTTTCTCCATAGTTGCTACTGCTATCTGCAGAGACAGTTTTATTTCTTCTTCCTAATCTGAAGGCCTTTTATTTCTTTTTCTTACCTTATTGCACTGGCTAGGACTTCTAGTCCAATGGGAACAGGAGTGGTAAGAGAACATCCCTACCTCATCGCTGATCTCCGTGGAAAAACATTCATCATTAAGTATGATGGTAGCTGTTCATTTTTTATAGATGCCTTTTATCAGGTTAAGAAGTTACTTTCTCTTCCTAGTTTGCTGAAATTTTTTATCATGAATAGATGTTGAATTTTGTTCAATGCTTTCTCTGCATACATTGAGATAAACATATCATTTTTTTCTGACTGATTTTCACATGGTGATGCAGCCTTGCATTCCTGGGATGAGTTCAACTTATTCAAGATGTATTATCCTTCATATTATTGCTGGGGTTGACTTGCTGACACTTTGTTAAGAATTTTGGCTTCTGAGTTCAAGAGAGAACCTCTCTGGTCACTGGTGGTTTGGCTGGCCCCAAGTGAGAGATGCCTCTCCCCATCAGGCAGGCTCATGGGGTACAAACGTGGCCATGTGGAACCTCCCCTTCATCAGCTGTAGGTAGTGTTGATTCCTAGAAAAGGGACCTTAGGCAAACGGGCACCCCAAAACACATCCTCTGTATTTGTGTGGGCCTGGAGTCCCTGGGAGTGTGTCATCTCCCATCTCCACACCCTGAATATCCACCCTGCTGCAGGTGTGGCCATCCCATCATGCATTGGAAAGAGCCCTGACTCGGAGGCTGAGATTTGAGGGTGTGTTGGGGTGAGCCCTGGTCATGGCCCCTCCTGAGTTAGCACAGTGGGGACATATATCAAGGGCCCAAAATAGTCCTACCTTTTAAAATTTCTACCCATTGATGGACTTCCCTGGTGGTGCAGTGGTTAAGAATCTGCCTGCCAATGCAGGGGACACGGGTTCAATCCCTGGTCTGGGAAGATCCCACATGCTGCAGAGCAGCTAAGCCCATGTGCCACAACTACTAAGCCTGTGCTCTAGAGCCCGTGAGCCACAACTGCTGAGCCCAAGTGCCACAACTACTGAAGCCTGTGCACCCTAGAGCCTGTGAGCTGAAACTACTGAGCCCACGTGCTGCAACTACTGAGGCCCACACACCCAGAGCCCGTGCTCCGCAACAAGAGAAGCCACCGCAATGAGAAGCCCCCGCTCACTGCAACTAGAAAAAAGCCCGCGTGCAGCAGCAAAGACCCAATGCAGACTAAATAACTAACTAACTAAATAAATAAAATCCCTACCCATTGATTCCTGTTTTCAGACCCTGTGCTACAGAAATACTTTGTGACGTGGAAATGGCTTTATCCATAGAGATGTATATTGCACCACTGTTTATTAATCAGAAAAGGATGGGAATGAAACCCAAATTCCTAGGAGGATGGGATTGGCTGAGGAAATAGCATTGATGTCTGCTGAATGAAGGACTCTATAACCATGAAAGGGTGATTTATGGAGATTGTAACAACTTCAGGAAACCTTACATGTGTCCTTAAGTACAAGTAGAAAAGCAGGTTACACATCACATTCTGTTTGGTGTGAGTGGTGCTGGGTCTTTGGGTAAAATGAGAGTGGATTCCACTCTGGGGAAATGAGAAAAGACAAGTCTAGGGAAACTGGGAAGGAAGGAAGCTCCAAGTTTAGCATGATTTTTTTTCTTAATTAACCTTCGCTGGTTCTTACTAGTAGCCTCCTTTATTTTGTCAAGATATACATCATGTTTACTAAATAACCTGTCCTGAAATTTGACAGGATTATTGAGGTCACAACTATAGGCAAATTGAGCTGTGTGTGCTTAAGGTGATTTTTATAAATCTAATAAACTCCTTATTCTCCCTTCTCTGTCTTTCCTGCTCTATTCTCTCTCCCTCTTCTCTGTCTCTCAGACTCTCTCCTTCCTTCATTTTCTTTCTGCCCCTTCCTCCCTCCTTTTCACTTTGCATGTTTGTATGTTCATAGGTCAAATAAAATAACAAAAAATGTTTGCCGGGAATCAATATGAAAAAAACCAAACAAACAGGTTACAGAATTCCATGTACAGCTATAGAGAAAACGTACTTAAAAGGAAGCTAATGTGAGACAGTGATAGTGTTCCGGGGATGCCATTCTCTTTCTTTTTCTGGTTTCCAAAATTTCTTGCATGTTACATATTACTTTTGTGATTTAAAAGCTTACCATTAGGGCTTCCCTGGTGGCACAGTGGTTGAGAGTCCGCCTGCCGATGCAGGGGACACGGGTTCGTGCCCCGGTCTGGGAGGATCCCACATGCCGCGGAGCGGCTGGGCCCGTGAGCCATGGCCGCTGAGCCTGCGCGTCCGGAGCCTGTGCTCCGCGACGGGAGAGGCCACAACAGTGAGAGGTCCGCGTACCGCCAAAAAAAAGAAAAAAAAAAAAAAAAAGCTTACCATTAAGAGAGAGGAGAGCAGAGCAGAGTTCGCTGTCTCCGAGGCACCCCTGCGCCGCCAGGCTGGGGAGAGTCGCCGGGTGCCGGCCGGGTGGGGTCGCGTGAGTCCCGGTGCCGTGTCCTGTCTCAGTGCCGCCCTCCTCTTGTCTTCCAGGCTTTGGGAACCATCACTGCAGTGCCTGTCACAGGTCCTCAGGTGAGCTCCTTGCAGAGGTTGGCCGGGCAAGGAGCGGCAGTGCTACCTCAGGTAAGCAGCCTGCGGGTGGGCCCCGGGCTGTCTGTCTGTCTGTCCACAGCCCCTCAGCAGTGAGGTTTAGGTGAGCCCTGAGCTGGGTGTGACGTCATGGGAGTCCCTTTCCTCTCCTGCCTCCTCTGCCTGCCCTTCAGAGGAGATGTTGGGACCAGACCCAGTTTTTCACACACTGAGGAATTGAGAAATCAATTTAGTGGGTCATGACCAGGATTTTTTTTTAATGGAATAAACTAGGCTGGACTAGAAGACAGCAGAAAATACCAAGACGCGTCATAAGCATTTTTTTGTGAACAATTTGTTTCTGGACTGGATCACGACGTAATGGAGATTTTTTTAATATAAATTTATTGATTGATTGATTATTTTTGGCTGCACTGGGTCTTCGTTGCTGCACGCGGGCTTTCTCTAGTTGTGATGAACAGGAGCTACTCTGCGTTGCGGTGCGCGGGCTTCTCGTTGCGGTGGCTTCTCTTGTTGCAGAGCACGGGCTCTAGGCATGCAGGCTCAGTAGTTGTGGCACGTGGGCTCAGTAGTTGTGGCTCGCGGGCTCAGTAGTTGTGGCTCGCAGGCTCTAGAGCACAGACTCGGTAGTTGTGGTGCACGGGCTTAGTTGCTCCGCAGCACGTGGGGTCTTCCCAGTCCAGGACTCGAACCCGTGTCCCCTGCATAGCAGGCAAATTCTTAACCACTGCGCCACCAGGGAAGTCCTAATGGAGATCTTTGAATATGGGTCACAGTCAAAAAAGTGTTAGAAGCTCTGGACAAAAGGATGCATTTCAGGAGACGGTGCAGACGCCAGGCCTTGGGCCTGGGTTCCAGCCGGGGTCCCCCGCTGGGCCCTGCACTTTGGGCAAGTCACCTGGGCTGCGTCTCCTCGTCTGCAGAGAGGGTGGTGCCAGTGCCTCCCTGGCGGCCGTGAGGACTGAATCGGGGCACAAAGCCTTTGTAGCCGGGCCTGGTCTGGAGCAGAAGCCTGCTGGGTACCGCCCGGCACGCAGCTTTGTGGGGCACCTGCTGCTGAGCTGCGAGGGGCTGCCGGCTGCACAGGCGACAACGGCTCCTGCCTGTCCTGGGGCCGCAGGCCTGGGCCGATGCCCCCAGCTCGAGGACAGTGAGCGGCGGCTGCCCTGGGCCCTCTGGTCCTTGTGGCAGCCTCGCTGAATGCCCACCTGTGCTGAATCAGACAGGATCCTGTCCCCCAGAGGCTCAGATTCCAGGAGGGGGACAGACAAGGAGCCAGACGATTTGAACCCAGAGTGATTGGCCTGAGTCAGAAGGATCCACGGGAGCTATGGGAGCCTCGAGGAGGCTCATAGCCTGCCTGGGGGTCAGGGAGGGCTTCCTGGAGGAGATGGTGCTAGAAGCAGGGCTCCGAGGGTAGGAAGTCTTGGTAGTCCAAGGTGGAGGCAGGCCTCAGGGGACGAGCACCCCAGAAGGATACTGGAGCATGCGGACACGGGGGTGAGAAAAGGAGGCAGGTGGCAGTGGGGAGACCGGAACCGCAGGCCTGGCGGCACTGGAAGGAGAAGTGGGAGCAGGCATAGCTCTGGAGACGTCAGCAGAGGCCTTCTGGGGGCCTTGGATGTGGAGTAACGGAGCTGAGCTTTGCCTGTCCGTGACTTAATGGCTGTGGGGAGCTACGGAAGGCTTTTGAGCAAGGGAGGGTCAGGACTGGGGCTCCAAGGAAAGGCTTCTGCTCAAGGTCAGTGCTGTCTTCCTAGGAGTTTTCACTCCCACGTACACCCCTCAACTGTAAAAGTCCAAGGGCCACCTCTCCCTCTGCCCCAATATATGCGCGCGCGCGCACACACACACACACACACACGCACACACCCGCGACCAGAGCCCCCGGGCCAGTCAGTGCACGCCCAGGACCTGGGCAGCCTTGGCAGGTCCATGGTTTCTCCGCTGCCGTCTCCTCACCTCTAACGTGGGAGTCCCTGACCAGGTCATGTCTGTGCCCCTGTCATCTGCCCTGGCTGTCATCACCCCGTCTGTGTGTCTATCTGACCGTGCCACTGTCCCTCCCTCCCCAGGTTAGGCCAAAGACTTTGATTCCAGACAGCCTCCCCGTCACCCCGGGCCGGGACCGGCCACCCAAGCAGCCCCCAACCTTCCAGAAGGCCACCGTGGTCAGTATCAAGAACCCCAGCCCAGCCCTCCCCACTGCCAACAACACCGTGAGCCATGTGCCAACGCCCGGCAGCCAGCCCCGTGCCCTTGCCGAGCCTGCCACCGTCACCTCTCCTCTGAGCAGTGCCGGGGTGGCCTACGCCCTCATCTCCACCGCCCCCAGCAATGCCACCGCCATGGCCCCCAGCACCGCCGTGTCCGTGGTCAGCGACAGCGTCAAAGTCCAGCCCCTCCTCATCAGTGCCGACAACCAGGTGAGGGCGCCCGCGGGCAGGCTCCCCAAGGGGCCAGGTGAAGGGGGCCCGGGCAGAATGAATGACCAGATGGCGGAACGATTAGATGGTCAAAGGAATGGATGGAGTGGGAACAGAGGACTGAATGAACAGCGTGGGAATGAACAATAAGTGAATGAATCAGTGCATAAATGGGGGGTGGAGGGGGCGTGTACAAATGAATGAATGAGTCAGTGGTAGAATGAACGGTGTGTGAATGAGGGTGTGGATGAATGAATGAATTGGCGTGGGAATAATGGGGGTACAAGGGAATGAATATGTGAACAAAAGACTGTGTGGCTGAATGAATTAATACCAGTAGGAAACGAATGATTGGTCGATGGATGAATTACTTCACTTGTTGGAATAATTAATTAATAAAACGCGTGGCCAAGTGGACCACTGGAAGAGTCTCTGCCAATGGAGGGAGATAGTCAAGGACTTTTTGGACCCCGGGTGCCTGAACGGAATATCTCTGATTTGTTGCCAAGATTTAAAACTAAAACTAAGATCCTCTTCCTGTTCCCGTCTGAGCTCCTTGATGATGTGTGAGGTGTTTGGGGCTGCATAGGAGGTTCCATTTCCTCTCTTTGGTCTCTTTTCCTCTGTTTCCAATTCAGGGGTCCACCAGGCTGCCCCTCTCTTGCTTATGGCCCGTGTCCCCTATTTCCCAGCCCTAGTGTCAGCCACTTTCCTGCAGCCGTATGTTATTGCACTCAGTACATTTCTGGGTATGTTTTTGAGCTCTCCCACTTATGGACAGTATCGCCAAGGATTCTCCAAGCCTAAAGAGTTATCGCCAGCCAGGGTCGGATGGCAAGTTCCAGTGAGGAAACGCGCACCCCAGGATGGGACCTGGTCCAGAGGGGGAGCTTAGCAGACGTTTGTTGGTTGAGTGTGCTTGTTTCACTGCAACCTCACTAGCATCCAGTGTTGTCATTTTTAAATGCTTTTTGCTCCTTTAGTTGATGCAGACAGATGCTGGTCGTTGAAAGCGGAATTCCTTTGGTTAGTATTGAACTTGAAGGTTTCCCTGTACTTTTCAAGAATCCTGTCTCCTTCCATGTGACTCATCTGAGGGTATTCTTTGCCCCTTTTTCTGGGGGGATCTTACTGTTTTCTTCCCATGGATATAAAAAGGGAGCATTTTTTTCCATCCAGAGAATTCTGGGATTTCAAAATTATGTTACAAAGAAGAACAAAGTCCTTTCCCTTAAGCCAGCAGAAAAATGGGATGCATTTTCTCTTCATGTGTAAGAGGTTCAAATTCACAAGTCACAGAAAAAGAAAAAAAGAAAAAAAAAAGTCTGCTGCAAGTATCCGAGGAAACAATTCACAAGTCACTATGTGTTCTTAGGAGGGAAAAACAGTTCGAGTCACTCCTGGTTGAGGCCAGACCCAGGGCTGCTCCTGGTAGATTCTTTCACCTAGATCCATGAAAAAGATAACGATTCTTTCCCAGTTCAATGTCCAAAAACATAAATAAGCTAGATGATTCACAGGTGAAGGCGATTGTGGCCTAGGGAGAGGCCGGGCAGCAGAAGTCAATCTCAGACTTCTCAGCTCCAGGCACCTCACCCCAACCAATGAGCCCTGAGCCCCATGGGGACCGCTGGATCGGGGCTGCTCTGCCTGATGCTGAGTGGGGTCTAGACTCCCCTCCCCCTCTCCATCCCCCCAGGATTGGCAGGGCCCCTCAGAGTGAGCAAAACGGGACCTCCTTTCTCCCACCTGCCCGAACCCCCAGGCCAGGTTTGAGCACCTCGGAAACAGTGGCCTGGGGAGGGGGGAGCAGGGCAGGCAGCCAGACAGACCCGGGAAGGGTCCCAGCCCCTCTGCTACCTAACCTGATGAGCTCAGGCAGGGAGCAGTTCTGAGCCCTCTCAGCCTCAGTTTTCCTGCATGTGAACTGGGGAGAAAGAAACCAACCTGCCTTGAGTGTTCCTTCCGCCTGAATCTTCACAGCCTGCCTGGAAGTAGGTATTGCGAAGGTGTTACTGATAAGGAAGCTGAGGCTCAGAGATGTGAAGTGACCTCCCCGAGGCCACACAGCCGGGAGCCAGTAGCACAGGATTGGACCCAGGCCTTCTGGTTCCTAAACCAGGACCGTTTCTCGTGCAGACTCTCCTTAGGGTGCAGGCACCCCATGGACTGGAGAGGTGGGTGCAAGCCTCCTCGTTCCTCTGTGATACCGCCGTTCGAGGCCCCGTGCCCGTCTGGGGCGGACACACCTGGCCCTGGGCTCTGTGGGCCTGCCTTCCCTGGGCCCTCCCGTTCCCCCCTCACCCCTCTGCCCCGTCCCCAGGTCATCATCATTCAGCCTCAAGTGCAGACGCAGCCCGAGAGCACGGCGGAGTCGCGGCCGCCCACAGAGGAGCCATCTCAGGGAGCTCAGGCCACCAAAAAGAAGAAGGAAGACCGGCCCCCGAGCCAGGAGAACCCCGAGGTGGGTGGCTGTGGTCTGGGGGCCGCTGTAGGACACGGCTGCCCAGGGAGTGGGGACGGGCCTCACCCCAACAAGCCCAGAGCACAGCCGCCCTGGGCCGTGGGAGCTCCAGGCAGCACTGGCCCAGTGAGCTGAGGTCTCAGCCGTTGTGTGTCCGGGATTTGCTGGCGCTAAGCGGCAGCGTGGGGCAGTGGTTAGCACCAGCCGTAGACCAGACCGCCTGGACTTGCATCGCAGCGCAGGTGTGGCGGGGTGCGCGGGGGTGGGGAGCAGATCGCGTCCGTTTCCTCATCTGTGAGGACGGCACGGATGAGTCTGCCTTCCTGGCGGCGTTTTTGGGAGGATCTCGTGAGTCAGTGTCTGCCGAGGCCCCAGAACAGTGCCTGGGCACTGCTGGCTGTGACCCACCACCCCAAGCCCCCGCTGTCCCCACCCGTCCCCCTGTCCTCAGGACCCTCCGTCCAGGGGACAGCGCTGCTCTTGGCACACGTGGCCCTAAAGCAGCCCTGCTCCTCCCTCCACCCCACTGTTCCCTGAATGTCTGAAGGTGGCACAGCAGGACCCTGAAGGCCTTAAACATCAGCTCTTTGTGGGATTTTTGGTCACAGCAAGCGACATCCTTGTGTTCCTGCTTGCATCCTCAGCCGTCCTGGGCCCAAATCACCACCCCCTGGGCCCTTCTCCATGTGACTGCCCCTGCTTAGCCCCCATTTCTCTCCCTATTGACTGCTTTATCTTACAAGATTCCCTTCAGAAACCATCTCCTCCAGGCAGCCTTCCCTGACCACCCATCCCCAGCAGGCAGAAGAGATCCCTCTGGGCTCCTCCCATTCCTTCTGATTCTTTTTATCAAAGTGCTGTCATCCAAAGAAGTCATTCATCCATTCATGTATTTGTCAATCATGTCTTAGCCTTTGCTGCAGGCCAGGCTCTGGGCTGAGGGTGGGGACACTGAGACGGGGCAGATGTAGTTTGTCCCGGCTCTAGGGAAACTCACTCCTACTGGCAGACACAGGCACGGCCACTAGGACTTGAACTTGGGTTAAAAAATTGTCAGGTGTCATCAGAGAGTTACAGATTCTGAGCTGTGGGAGATCCAGGGAGAGGGAGAGAGCCGTGTGTCCATCTGGAAGGACTGCGGAAGGCCTTGCAGGGGAGGGGCACAATCGAAGGGACCAGGGGAACAGGTAGGGTTTCAGTAAAAGAGCAAGAGGCAGGGGGAGGGCACTGCCCGGGCAGAAGGGAAAGGACTCAGCACTCCCAGGAAAGTCAGCTGGTCTGTTTGGACCGTGGGTAGCACGTGTGCCTGAGAATTTCTAGACGTGGGGCTACAGACGGACATCGGAGCCCAGTCCTGGGAGACCCGATGCACGCTGCTCAGGTGGGACTTGATTTCGTGGGTAGTGGGGAGCCATGGAGTATCTTTGAGCAGGAGAGTGACTTGGCTATTGTCCTTTGAGATGTCTAGAAAGCCTTCTGGGAATTCAGAGTCGACCACTCACCGAGGCTGAGATGGAGCCAGTCTCCTCTGTGGCCTCAGGCCCAGTTTTGTCTCAAGAGAGACAACCCATTCCATTTGGTGGCAATGTATGAGCTCCTACCGCGTGCGGGGTGAGGCCCGGGCCAGCTCGCAGCTCAGGCTCCCGTGAGCACGCTTCTGTCCTCCCATGAGGTTTGCTGCACCCTTAATTTTCGGGAAGGTTTTCTGGGTACATTCTCTTTGTTCTTTCAAAGTATATCTTAGTCAATTATTGTGCATTTATACAATTAGTATAATTACAGCTAATTACATAATTAGTGTAAATACGTGTAATGACTTAAATAGAACTTGCAATTACAACACGTCCTGGTGTAAAAATCCTTATTAAAGTTGCTTTCAGAAGGGGGCTGGGAGCAGTCGTGCTGCACAGACACGGGTTTCGTGGCGGCCTTTGAACCTGTTCGTGAAGGATCTAAGTCAGGAGCACTTGAGGCCAGAGCAGCAGCTGCCCCAGGAACTTCACCAGCTGAGCCAGGCGCGGGCTCGGGTCCTGGGGTGGGGCGTGGATTTGGGGTAAAGAGACACTGACGGTTGTCTGTAAGGCTCAGCTGTACGGTGGCTTCTGGGGTAGCGGCTGTCGAGGTCCCAGTGTGCATACACCCCACACGCACGGCACCTCTGAGCCCACAGGCGCCTGTGAGATGAGATGAGATGACAGTGCCCACCCGAGACATCGAAGGGACCCGCGCAGTGAGCCCACCTCTCTCCCGAGTGAGCCTGTGTAGCTAACTGTGCTTCCTCCCCTTTTCTCCCGCATCCTCCCAGCAGCTCTGCGAAGCAGGTGGGGCAGGAATTACAGGGTTCATCGTACAAACGAGGAGGCGGGCTGAGAGAGGCCAGCGTGTCCGCCCCTCGACCCAGACAGAACCAGGGCTCCAGACTCCTGCCCCAGGCCCCATAGTCTCCTTCCTGTCCCAAGTCCTCTGCCTTCTTTAGGACAGAGCCTGGCCTTTTCTGTGCTACTCATTATTCTGGCCTCGGGCAGCATCTGTCCAAGCTGGTCACCCTCAGATTCGCACGTGCCCTGTGGAATGACAGCCAGAGCAGGAGTTCCAGCCCTGTTCCAGCCCTGCCACACGCCAGCCCCGGCCGCCTCTCTGGGCAAGACCCGTGCACACAGATGCTCCCTCCTTCCACGCCATCCCTGCTGCCACAGCCCCGGCTCCTGCCCTGGCCCTGCCCGGGCCCTGCCCAGGCCCCCAACCCCTAGATGGGTTCTTCCCTGCAGCTAGATCAGAAATAACCAAGTCACTTGTCGTCTTTTAAAAAAAATTCTTCCATTTAGAATTTATTGAGATGTAATTGGCATATTACATGGTATAAGTTCAAGGTGTGTAACGTAATGATTTGATATATGTATATATTGCAAAATGATCACCAGGGTAATTGTAGTTAACATATCCATCACCTCACATGGTTATTTATTTTTTGTGTGATGAGCACTTTTAAAATCTACTCTCCTAGCAACTTTCAAATTTACAAGACAGTGTTGTTAACTTCAGTCCAGTGCTGTACGGTATTTATTTATCATATAGCTGGAAATTTGTAGCTTTTGACTTACCTTCACCCATTTCCCCCAAGCTCCACCCCCTGTCACTGGCAACCACCAATTTGTTCTCTGTTGCCAAGAGTTGATTTATTTTAAGATTCCATGTATAGGTGAAACCATAGAGCATTTGTGTTTCTCTGTTTGCCTTATTTCTTTCAGCGTAATGCCTTCAAGTTCCATCCACATCATCAAAAATGGCAGGGTCTCCTCAATTTTGTACTGGTCACCCCCTTTCTTGAAAGCCATCGGAGCACAGCCCCCATTAGTATGGCTTTGAGTTCTCGCTTGGACCATACCTCTCTGCTGCAAACCCTCAGCAACAACAGACAGCATGCAGGAAGAGCCAGTAGTAAAGATGTGACTGTGCATCGCTGTGTCCCAGAAACACAGGCAGTGAGCACGACAGATGCCCCAGACCATGGTCCCCAGGTTCAGAATCAGATGAGGGTGACCAGGCGGCTCCCAAGGGGCAGTGGGTCCCCTGAATTCTTCTGGCAAGAGAGGAGCAGAACCAGGCTTCCCTGCTAGTCCAGGAGCCAGCCTGTGCCTGGGGCCACCCCTGGGCTGGGCAAGGCCAGGGTGACTGCAAACTTGCTATAAGGCGAGGGTAAGCAGTAGGGAGAGAAAATGAAACATAGAACAGAGAAGAAAAGAAGCAGTGCCCAAGGTGAGTCTGCAGACAGAATTGTAAAACACACGATGCGATCTAATGCTAAGAAGGACACTCAATAAAATCAACTTTTGGAATGTGAATTTATTCAAGATGAAGCTAATTTTGTGGCGTATTTGTAGCAGTGACTTTTAAATATGTTTAGGATACTCAAAGAAGTTAAAAATAAAGGAATAACATTCACTTGAAATAAATAAGGAATAATGAAGCCAAAAAATCATGAAAATAAAACATCAGACAGTTACAAAAATTATTTGAACATCTGGTAATGAAAAACACGGTGATTGAGATAAAAAAAAATTACTAGACAGGATGAACAGAAGTAATTAGTGCTTTGGAATATGGTACCACAGAGATAGCACAGAGATGCAAAGAAGCATAAAAAATTATATATATGTAATTTTATATATAAAATTATATATGTATAAATTATATATTCACATATATATATGAAGCAGCAGAACTGAGTGGTGTGGGCGGGGCCTTGCTGACGGCCAAGGAGCTGCAGGTTGCAGAAAGACTCATCCGTGCTGAGGATCACAAGTCTGTATTCAAGTGCAAAAAGGCAGTGTCTGTGAGCCGCACTTGGGGTAGACAGGGCTGGGACCACACAAAGGGATATGGAAAGAGAACCTCCGTAAGGCCTCCAGGAGCAGAGAAGGTGCCACAGACCCTCCTTGACCTTGTTGGGCAGCAAGGAGGCGTGATTAAACAGAATCCCACTGAGGCGCCGTATGTGAAGAGTGAAGTCGGTACAAAGCCACCCTGAGGAGAAATATAGAAAGAGAAGCAATTTTTACCATAAATAAAAAACACGACCTCCAAAGTCCAGTATTCTACGATGAATCAAAAGAAAGAAATCAATACAGTAATCACTACTAAGAAGGAAGCTGCAGTGCCGAAAGACAAGGGCTGAGGGAAGAGATGGCCATTTAGGCCGAAGTACTGGAGAGAGGGAAACGTGAGCTGGAAATTTTCAGGAAAAATTAGGAAGACCATCACATAACTACATAACTGGGGGAGCACAGGGCACCATAGTCACAGCAGAAGACAGAGGAAGACCTAGCAGGCAGGAGCGAGAGAAGTATACAAAACAGAAAAGAAAGAATGGATTTTTAAATATTAGGAAGTGGTACCTAGAGAAGACAAGCAAAGAAGGTACAACAGGTGGATAATTGGAGGCTTTAAAGAAGAAAACCAGGATGACGGGGCAGAAGAGCTACAGTAAAACTTTCCCACGGTTCCCTGCGATATGAATTTGGCTATAACGTGGTAGGCAGTTTGCTCCTGTTATGTCGGTGATGGTGGGCTGAAGTTGTGTTCTGCGGAGGAAGGGCTGGAGGGAAGGGAAGGCCGAGTGGGGAACCAGGAGGCAGAGCATGGGCTCCGCTAGTATTGGCCCAGCCCAGCCTTCCCAGTTCAGGCCAGTGAAGGGGGTGCCAGGACTGGCAGATTCCTAGAGGCCACTGTCCATTCAGCCACAGGACCCTGGAAGTGACACTGCAACCAGGTGGCACCAAACTGCAGCCTGCACTGGCATCGACTGGCTGGAGACTTGCTGGACCTCAGAACCCCTGTTTGAGCAGGTCTGCGGCCACCTCAGTCGTCTTTCGTAGTCTTGTGTTGACGTGAGCACACGTCTTCCAGGACTGAATCTGATGGGCCTGAGTTTTCACGGTGTGGTGTTGCCTCACTGTTTTTAGAAGGCAATTCAAGGGGCTTCCCCGGTGGCACAGTGGTTGAGAATCCGCCTGCCAATGCAGGGGATGTGGGTTCGAGCCCTGGTCCAGGAAGATCCCACATGCCACTGAGCAACTAAGCCCGTGCGCCACAACTACTGAGCCCATGTGCCACAACTACTGAAGCCCACGCGCCTAGAGTCCGTGCTCCGCAACAAGAGAAGCCACCGCGATGAGAAGCCCGTGCACTGCAGGAAGAGTAGCCCCTGCTCGCCACAACTAGAGAAAGCCAGTGTGCAGTAACGAAGACCCAAAGCAGCCCAAATAATAATAATTTTAAAAACTTTAATTAAAAAGTAATTCAAGAAAATTTACTGAAATGAAAGGAGACTTTAATTTCTATACTGCAAGGACACACTAGGTTCCAGGGGAAGTTGACGTGTGTGCTGGGTTAACATTGGGTCACAGCCCAGTAAAGTCATTGGCTTTTTTTTTTTTTTTTTTGCGGTACGCAGGCCTCTCACTGTTGTGGCCTCTCCCGTTGCGGAGCACAGGCTCCGGATGCGCAGGCCCAGTGGCCATGGCTCATGGGCCCAGCCGCTCCGTGGCATGTGGGATCCTCCCGGACCGGGGCACAAACCCGCGTCCCCTGGCATCGGCAGGTGGACTCTCAACCACCGTGCCACCAGGGAAGCCCAGTCACTGACTTCTAATGGAAACGAGAGGATCCGTAGGCATCCAGGCAAAAGCAATCAAGTCGCTTTAGAGGGAGAACAACTGGGCCGGCTTCTAACTTTTCCACGGCAACATTCAGTCCAGAGCACAGGAGAGCGGGGAGAGAGAAGGGGACCCAAGGCTCTTAGGTGCAGCCAGGATGTCCTTCACGTTGAAAGGCCACAGACTAAAGGTTCTAAATCTGCCAAGAACTCAGGAAATGTTGTTCCCATGAGCCATTCGTGAGAAACTACTAGAAACTCAACCCCCATCGACCACGAGACGCTTGGGAAAGCTTGGCACCAACGCTGGTTGAGCGTCGTGCATACTTAACTACGGAGTAAAACAAACAGGATAAGGGTGCTGGCACAGAATGTAAATATTACATGTACGAGATGACACATAAATATTAATGTGTAAGATTCACCTAAGTGAGCAGAGAGCGAGGGAGAGAAGGGAGAGAGGAGGAATGAGCTCTCAGATTGTCGCGTTTGTGGAGTTGGAACTGTCAGTGGATCGAAGAATATGATTTAAAGGTGACAGATTGAGGCAAACTATTTTCAACAGCATTGAAGTAACTGGAAAGAAGGAGTAAACAGTCGCTATTTGAGATGCTGTAGAAAACCCGGGAGACTCTCACCGGAAAAACTGCTGCAGACAATGAGAGAATTCAGCGTGGCCGCCGGTGTGGTAACTTACAAACGTCAGTAGTCTTTAGAGAAACGCACAGCAACCTGTTAGAAGCTTTCTAGAGAACTGCATTTGCGATCGCAACAGAAGGATGAAATGCCAAGGAATAAACAACGACGATCGATACCTGTTTGAGGAAAAGTTTGAAACTCCTGAAGACAAAGAACAGAAGCACCTTGTGGTTTTGGAGAGGAAAATGTAATATTATTAGGTTGTCATTATGTCCTAAGTTAATTTATAATTTTAGCATCATCCCAGGAAATATACCAACTGATTCCCTCGTTCTCAGAACTACCGAAGATGGTTTCTAAATTTCACATGAAAAAATAAACAAGTGGAGCCGAGGAAGCTCAGAACAGGAAAAAACAGGGACGGGATTCTAATGCCGTCAGATTACTGTAAAGCCTTGAGAACTACAAGTGAGGTGGTAGCTTATGAATAGATGGGAAGATTTAAGGAACGGAATAGAGGGCCGTGTGTGTGTGTGTGTGTGTGTGTGTGTGTGTGTGTGTGTGTGAGTGTGTGTGTGTATGATTCACTCCTCAAATCAGTGAAAAGCGGACAGATGGAATTTTCAATCAATGGTATTGGAAAAAACGAGTGGCCACATGGAATAAAATGAATCCATGTATACCGTATACAACGGGATGGATGCCAAATAGGTCAGAAATTTAAATGGAAAAAGTGAAACTCTAGGTACTAAGATAAAACGTAAGCAACTTGCTTTCTAAACTCAGAGTCTCTAGCTAAGATGCAAAAATCCAGACACTGCAAAGGAAAATACTGATAAATTCTACTACGTACAATTTTTTAATGGTCTATATGGCCAAAAAAAAAAAGCACCAGTGGGACCTAATCCCCACCTCCCTAGATGTGGGCTGTGCGCCGTGACCTCCTCCCAAAGGTGACAGTGTGGACGGTGGGTGGGGTAAAGAGGAACTTTGCAGAGCAGACGCCTGACAACCACACCTCAGCCAGGTGACCAAGGTCAACATCACAGTGATCGGCCATGTTGACGGCGCGTGCAGCGCGCCGAGGGGATGGGACGAGGGCCCTTCACCTCTGTGGTCTCCCTGCAAAACCCAGGACCCCAGTCTAATCCTGAGAAAAACACCAGGCAAATCCCAGACAAGGGGCTGCCTACAAAATTCCTGGTCGGTCCTCCTCAGACGGCCAAGGTCATCCAAAAGAAGGCAGTCTGAGAAACCGTCACAGCCCAGAGGAGCCGAGGAGACAGGATGACTGACGTCATATGGGGTCCTGGGTGGGGTCCCGGGACAGAGAAAGAGCATGAAATGAAAACTAAGGAAACCCAAAACAGAAAAGCTGCGTTAACCCTTCTCTGTTTCCTTCCCTCAGAAAATCGCCTTCATGGTAGCGCTGGGCCTGGTGACGACGGAGCATCTGGAAGGTGAGGACCCTTGTGGCGGAGCTGGGCCTGGCCCACGGGATGGGGCGGGGGGTTGCTGAATTGGCATCAGACAGAAGCAGTGGGTCTCGGATTCCCGGTCAGATGGCAGCACCCGGGTGTGACCCACCTTCTGCGTGGTTGGTGCCAAGTGCCAGGTGGTCATCACGAAGACCAGGGCGCCTGCCCGCTCTCCCAGCTTGTGACTGTGCACGAAACCCACTGTGTCTATTGAAGGGACCTTGGGCATTCCCTGCCCCCCAGTTGGAGGCAGCACAGTGAAGTGATAAGAGCAAGGTGCCCAGCTCGGCCGTTACTAACTACTCAGGCTTGGGCAAGTCCCCCAGCTCCTCTGGGCCTCAGTTTCTCTGTCTGTGTAATGGGATAACAACCCACCCTTCCTCCTGGGATTGTTGTGAAGAACCAAGAGGAGTGCCAGGCACCACCTCCCCTGCTGTTGAACTGGTCCATGGGTCCCGTCTGCCCCCAAACCCATCGGTGGAAATCAGAACATTATTTGAGCAGACAGGTCAGTGTAACACTACAGGTGCTGTTTGACTTTACCGATGGGCTCAATCACAAACGAGCTCTGTGCATCGTCATAGAATCTAAGGGCCTGGAAAGATGGAAACCAACCTTCTGGTTGCACTTGTGGGGAAGCTGAGGCCAGAGAAGTTGATTCTCTTGCTCGAGGTCCCACAGCCAGTCAGTATCAGGCCCAGGCTGGAATCCAGGTCTCCTGACTCCCAGCTCAGGGTGTTCTCCACGATTCTGACCTCACCGCTAAAGATATTTTATAAAGTGAAAACATCCCTACACCCCAAGTAAATCTGGATTTGGGAAGGAAAATTCACTTGCTTTTCCTCCTTAAAATCGAGGAAAGGAAGGGAATGAACTGAATCCCCCAGTGCCCGAGGCACTTACAGGCTTTAATCTCAGGTGGAGGTTCTCTCCATCACAGCAGGTGAGTAACTGAAGCCTGGGGAAGGGAAGGGACCTGGGGAGCCCACACAGCTCGCCCGGGCCTCCTGTGCACAACTGAGTCAAACGTGCCCAGGAGGTGGGTCCAGGCCTTTCCACGGCCACCTCCATTTGCATTCCCTGGGTCTGACTCGCTCTCTGGCGGCAGCTGGGGTGTAGATCTGGGTGGCGAGGGACAGGGGTGTGGCCCAGCCCCCCAGCCCCCCAGGCTCCACTGACCTGGCCCCAGTGGGCAAGTCTTATCTGAGCAGCCCCTGCTTGCGGCCCCCTTCCTTCTGCTGTGTGGGGCCGGAAGGGGTTCTCTGAGCTTTCCATCTGAAGGTCTGAATACTCCTGCTTGAACTTGGGTGTGAGGAATCCAGCTGTGTTTGGCAGCCTTTGAGAGCTGTTTATGCTCTGCCTTTGGGGTCATGGAGGCAGCCTGGGGCCGTGGGACTGGCCTGCACATTCACGTCAGTAGTCCCGTGTTCACGTCCTGGCCGTGCTGCTTACAGCTGGGTGACCTTGGGCAGGCTCCTTCCCCACCCTGAACCTCAGTCTCTTCATCTACAACGTGAGGAAAACCACATCTTCAGACTTTTCAGGGGTGTCGTGGCAACTGAGATAAAAACACTCTGCGAATACATTTGGGAATGTTATTATTTTTATAAATTATCCTCATTGTGAAAACTCTCCTCCTTCTCACCCATGATACCCTAAATACTTATTTATTTGGACCCTGTCTTTTCCCAAAGAGGGTCTGAGGTGCCTTACAGGAAACACACGAATAATATTGAAACAGTTTCAAAGAAGAAATCAGGTCCAAGAGACAGAGATTCGGAAATAATGTCAAAACAGCTACACGCAGAGACAGGGCCCACCTGGCAGTCAAAGCAAAGGAAGAAAATGAAAACGAGAAGGGGGAGAGAAAACCCAGTTCTCGAGCTGCATGAGGCCCACCACGCCGGCCCCCATCAGGAGGACTCGTGCCTGGCGTCCTGGGGGTCAGGCTGCCGAACAGAGGCTGCCCCTGCCCTTCCCAGGAGCCCGGAGTCCCACCCTGCAGCTCAGCCAGGCCAGCGTCTGACCAGTGGGCATCTGCTGTCCCCAGGGTCCCATGAGAGACATCCCCGGGCCGGAGGATGGCACACGGGGCCTTGCTGAGAGCAGGTGCCTGGATTCTGGGTACCTCACACCCTCCCACCAGTCAGTCCTTCAGCCTGGGGCCAGCAGGTCTGTCCTGCCTCAGAGTGAGCGATTCCGGGGGCACCCACCCGCCCGGGGCCACTCTGGGGCGCGGATGCTGGGCAGAGAGGCTGCAGGGCAGGAAGGGATGGTGGCGCCCGGGGTTTGCAGAGGAGGCATCCAGGGTCCTGGGGCAGGAAGATGCCAGTAACTGCTGCGTCTGTGCCTTTCCAGAAATCCAGAGCAAGCGCCAGGAGCGGAAGAGAAGAAGCACAGCGAACCCCGCCTACAGCGGCCTCCTGGAGACAGAGGTGAGGGACCCGCCGTCTCCACACCAGCGAATGGGGAGGCTCCCCTGGGCTGGCCTCCCTCACCTGCCCCTCCAGGGATTAGAGTTCGGGGAGTGCTATCAGTAATTCTTTCTTTACCTCCTGGGCTCAGAGGCAATTGAGAGACAGACGCAGAGGATCGGGTGTCAGTGGGGCACCTCACCTAGGCTGCCCTGGGGGGTGTGGTGGGGATGCCGGTTGCATATTATCCAGCACGAGGTCTGGTCGCAGGCAGTGCTGGCCACCTGGGCCTCCCGGGACCACTCAGGCCCAACTTTGGAGCCCGGCCGGCTCGTTGGAGCTCATGACTTGGAGAGCCGAGAATGTGAGGCCACGGAGAGAAAGGCCCGGAAGGGGCCGGGCTGAGTGAGGGTGGTTCCTTGTCTCCCCCGGGGAGGAGGGAAGGGAGCGGCCGTGACTCCAGCTGACTTCCCTCTGCGTGGAGGCGCGAGGCCAGGAACAAGAGTTGTGGCCTGCCATGCCCGGCTTCCCCTCCTTCCGATGCACTGAGCCCAGCTCCCCTTCACACGGCGGTACCCCGGCTCCAAGACTGCTTCCTCACGGTGGGCAGCGTGCACTTTCCCCGGGTAGCCGAAACTGGTAAAATAGGGCATTAAAGTGAACTCCAAGGCAGGGAATTCCCTCCCAATCCAAATCGCGTCCAGACTGCCCGCCCGGGGCCCCGTAAGGAGATGATGAGAGTAACCAGACACCAGCCAGCGATGCAGTGTCAGGACTTAAGGATGCCTTCCAGGGAGCGCCTTGGCCCCCTCCCATCAGCACATTCCCAGGGAGGAACTGAATCCACAATGAGATCTTCTTGCCTTTGCAAATTAAAGTCCACAATTCTAGGCTAAAATCCAGATGTCATCTCCCAGAAGCCGGCTCTGCAGAGGCTGCCAGCGGCCTGGGCTTTCCTAGGGAAAACTCCCTGAAATCTTCCCCTAGGATGGAAGCCGTTGCCTGAAGGCCCCGAAGTCGGGCAGCCCCCTGACGTGGAGCCACGTCTGCAGAGGCCAGGGCCTGGCACATTCCAGAGGGCCCGGACGAGGGCCACCGAAATGCCGTGCTCGCGTCCCTGGGGGTGTTCATCAGCCTGGGCCAGTGGTCCCAAATCTATGGCTCACAAACTGGCCCTCACTGGGAGGGGGGCTCCCGTGGGTGGCCCTGTGGGGAGAGCCCACCTGTGTCTGCGTCGCCTGCCTCCCCGGCCCGCCCGCCTGTCCTTGCTTATACTGTCCCCCGACTCCTGCTCGGAGAACACACGTGTTTATACCCGCTCACTTCCTCCCCAATTTTCTGAGCAAGCCATGTCCTGAGACAGGGCCCCAAGCGCTGGGCCCCATTTGTGAGAGCCACGGAGCCGTTTCCGCATCTCCGCCCAAGGAGACGGTGTGTCCTCTGTGCTCACTGATGGAAGCATCCCCTGCTCTGTGGGCACGGCCGTGACCTCTTCTCCGAAGCCTGTGGCCACGGCCAGAGATGACCTGATGAGTGAATCAAGAGCCGACGCAAAGCCCTGTGACCTTGAGCCCTGGACACATACGTAGCCCAGGAGCAGCCCTTCCGTGGGTCCCTCCCCTGGCCCTGAACGCGGCCCAATCACGTTGAGACAGATGGGTTTACAGCCCGTCACCCAAGTCTAGAACCATCTTCTTGCCACAGCCAAAGCCGTGTCGAACCACCAAAGTCTGAAGCCACGTGGCCTGTGGTTGCTAACGCCACCTTCCGGAGTCGCCAGGAGCTTCCATCTACCCGTGATGTTTTGGGCACTGGGGGCCACTCTTTGTCGTCAGGGTTCCTGGAACTCATGCCGAGAAGTGGGGTTTAGCGAGCCAGTCCATAATACACCTCATTTCCCCACCTGACCCCAGAACCAGCTGAGAAAGAAAATACAGGAGGAACACAGAGGGACAGCCACGTGTCGGCTTTGTTACTGATTTGCCCCCATCGGAGAGCCCTGACTGCCCTTCCTGAATGAGGCAGATGTGCCCACGGGGAACAGGGACGGACCCGCTGGGCAGAGCCTTGGCTGGCTTTTGCCCTGGCCGACCTGTCTCTCCCCCTCCCCACGGCCCTGTGTCTGTACCCGTTTCTGCCTCTGGCCGTGGGTGTCCGGCTGGAGGCCGGAGCCCAGGATGGGGAGCCTGTCCTGGGTGAGCCCTGGGCGGGGTCAGTGTCGCCAAGGAGGGCTCCCCACGATCTGGTGGTTTGGTTTGGTTTTCTGTTCCTGCAGAGGAAGCGGCTGGCGTCCAACTATCTCAACACCCCCCTGTTCCTCACAGCAAGAGGTAAGCACTTCTCCCGCAGGGTAGCTGTGGGCTGGGCTGGGCCGTACCTCCCTCCACTGGCAGCGGCCCGGCTACCCAGCCTGCCCTGTCCACAGCAGCGGCCACATGGCTGCTGACCGGTGGATGGCGCATCACAGCTCACCAGGCCCTCTGCGCCGTGGCCACGCTTGTCCTCACGTACCACGTTACCTCCCTGGGCCTTGGTTTGCTGATCTATAGAAAACGGGCCCATAATAGTCCCGGTCTCTCAGCTGGGACAGTGACAGGAGGGGTGAACATGACAGCACTTTGTAAACCGTCGAGTGCTGTGTACACGCAGGAGCTGTTTTTGCCACTGGATGGTATGATTTCCAGAAATTAAAAAGAAAACTGTTTTTTGTGATCATTAAAATATGTGGTTTGGCATCACTCACTAGAATGGAAGTGCTTTATGGCTGAAGACGAGTTGACAGTAAGTCACTCTGAGGGATCCCTGGAGCAATGTTTCCTCCGCAGGACAGCTCACTGCTGCCATGTGCCTCAGGGAGCTCAGGGGCCACGGTGAACCTACCTCTGGGTGGGTCCTGGCCATGACTGGGGCAGAGACCTTTACTTCCATGGTGCCCTGGATGAGAACCCAGGTGTCACTGGGGCCTGTGATACTCCCATCAGGCCCTGGGTG